CTCTGCAGAAACCCTGTCATTGTCTCTAATCTGGGCAAAATTGCCTTCTGACACCCATTTAACCTGAGAGAATGTAGACATCTAAGCCTCTCCTTAGCTGTTCTCTTCACTTTTGTCTTTATCTTCTTTGCTGAATATGCCAACTGCTGAATTCGTATAGAAATCATGTTGCTATGTTGTTATGATGAACACATGAAGATACAACTTAAAAGAACAATGACAAGAAGAGAGATCCTGAAGCATAATAATCACGAACTCCAACTAGTTTTTGTTCCAGTGACTCAGCCAAGGATTGCAGAAATGTGAGTAAACATGCACCCATCTGTAGAAGGTAACTCAAACCACATCTCCTTCTGCAGGATAACTGGCTGGTGCCTGATGAAAGCGTAGCTTGAGTAGGAGGAAAGGAAGTGATTCACAGATCCCACTTGCTCACCCTTATCCCCTAGAGTGGCTCCAAGAAACTGTGAGTTGTGCTTCAATTATTTCTATCCAGAAATCACTACAATTCAAAAGCCTGTTATTCGTGGGGGAGCAGCTTAGACAACATACTTGAGCAGGAGAATTGCTTCTGTCTGGCAGCTTCCCCCAGCTGATTGGGTTTTATGTGTTCCCTTTTCCCCCCTCTAGTTTTCATTACAGAAGTAATTTCAAGTCAATCTGGTTGATTAGGCAGAGTAGTTCCTAATATGTGCAGGGCAGGCCCAGCTTGGAGGGCAGTGTCCTTAGAAATGCTGCTGGAGATGGGAGATGAGAAGTCTAGTTCTATGGAGGAAATGAGGGGCTATACTGAAGACCCGTGATGCGATGGATTGATTCTGTGAGTGCAGTGGTGGGAATAAGTGTGTTTGAGATGGTGAGGTTGGCACAGGATAGAACAGCATTTAGGGCTCTTGTGCATAGGGTTGCTATGAGTCGCAAGTGACTCAATGCTATCTAACAACAACATCTTGTGGCTCAAGAAGTTTATGGCGTACACACCCATTTCTACTATCTCCTGGTCCTTGCCTTGAATTTCCAATAACTGAATTTGTGCTTGACACAAAGTCTCAACTGATTACTCATGTCTACTAGCTTTCTGATTTGTTTTCTGTACAGCCATGCCTCACTTAATAGTCACAATACATTCTGTGAACTAGGATGTTATGTTATATAGATGTTGTGTGAATACTATAGGGTGTTCTAGTCCTCCTGCTTTTCTTTTAAGTATCATGGACAAACTTTGCAATTTACCACTGTTTGTCAACATTGATATGCTGCCAAGAATTTGCTTTTATGTTTAATCATTGCATCATTTGTTAGCTGGCATAACAAACAATTTCTCCATGCCTGAAATAGGTCCCACTCTGGTATGTGTGAGCTCTGGTAGCCTCGTGGTAAGGAGTTGTACTGTCAAGCCAAGACATAGGGTTTGAAACCACCAGCTTTTCACTAGGGAAAAGATAGACAATTGACTCTCACACAATTAATTGCCTCTGAAAACTCAGTGAAAGGTCAGCTATGAGTCTGTTCAAACTCAATGGTACACAACAACAACAATCTATGTGCAAACCTTGCAGCTTTCAGTAGAGTTAGTCTTTTGACAGTTTGGAGATTTTTTTTTTAAAGCTTGAGTCAGATTTCCAAGTGTGCCAGGTTCAAATTGTGAGCAATAGCATTCACTGATTTTCCAGCACCATGTTGTTCAACAATCTTTTGTATCTCTCACTAGCTGATACTTCTTCATTGTCACTTGTTGATTCTATTACCAGCATTGGTTTTGCTGTGTTTAGGAGCACTTCATGGTAATATTTTTGAAATAAAACTATACAGAATAACAACACTATAATGTTGTTGTTGTTATGTGCTGTTGAGTTGTAGACAACTCATAGCAACCCTGTGAACAAAAGGCCTGAGCACTGTTCGTAGAGTTTCAGGAGACAAGTCATTTTGGAAGTGGATGCCACTCCTGCTTCCAAGCTTGTTTTAATCGGGGACCTCCACCAAACTCTGTCCACCATGGGTAACCATTATCACATTTGGCACATCAGTGTCACAGTGTTTAGCATCACAGCAACCATGAGTTACCTCTGTACAGCAAATGGACAGACTAGTGTTTTACCACCTAGAAGAATGTTTGACAAAAACCCCAATTTGAACCAGGTCTAAGGGCCATAGAGTAAAATCACCCACCTTGGTCTTGATAGAATAAAAAACAAATACAAACAATGTAAGAGATTGGATTCTGTTGCTTACAAATGGAAGCACACATTATTATATGTAAACTTTTAGATAGAAAATACAGTATAGTACAGAAACCAGTACAACTGGGAATGAAATCACTTTGTATGCAAGAGACATGAAATTTATCTGTTGCAAGCATAAAACTGTTGCCCTTTGTCCTTTTTTTAAAATTTTTAGTTTCATTTTATTATTGTGTGTGTGTGTGTGTGTGTGTGTGTGTGTGTGTGTACCGTCAAATCAGTTCTGACTGGTACAGGAGGAGATTGTTTCTCCTTCTCCAGCAGAGCATCTAGTGGATTTGAACTGCCCTTCGTATGTCCAAATTTCCCAACAGTATTTTTTAACTTTATTATAATACTATGGGACCATGTATGTACATGTGGTAAGACATTACCTGAATGGACATCATTTGGTATATGGTCCCAAATCCATTATATTTTTATTAGGAATCTCTGGGTAGAGTAAATGATTAACATGCTTGACTGCTAAGTTTCAAGTCCACTAAGAGGCACCTCATAAGAAAGACTTAGTGATCTCCTTTTGAAAACTTAGCCACAGTTTGACGGAGCACAGTTCCACACTGGGAGGCATAGAGTTGCCATGAGTCTGAATCGCCTCAAATGCAACAGATAACTGGTACGTCTGTATCTTAAATGATGGTGCTTTGCCGTGCTCTTAATTGTTTTTTCTTTCTCCAGAATCCCAGGACTACCATCTGGGTCCTGCCCGCATCTATGCGTGTTTTCTGCATCCAGGCTCTTTATCTCAAGGTCATACTACCATGTCTTCAAAATCTAACCTGTTTGACACCTCCTGAACATAGCCCTAAGTTTACATTGTGATTCAGCAGCTTCTAGCAGGATACTTTGCTTTAGATGCTTCCTGATAACAGCTGGGTTCACACAGACCCATGCCCAGACACTAGGTGAGAGCCTCTGATCTTCCAGGACTGTCTGGTATCACTATTTTCTGAGACCCTTTCTGCTCAAAGCAGCTCCAGAAGAGAATGGATGTGAGACAATGCTGTTGAGAGTGCAATATACAATCTGGGAATTTAAGTGAGAGAATAGTTTGCTGCCACAGGGAAACCAGAATCTCTTTGGCCCAGCTCAAGGCTCTAGCTGTTGATGCTGCCCATCCCACTCCATCCCAGTCACTTCTGGGCTTATCAGCAGCCTGATTTCCACAGCAGTCAGGATGAGGACAACTCTGCAGACAATCAGAACCACGTCCTTAGCTGGAGGGGGCACTTTTAGTGCTTTTGAGTTTTCCTTCAGAATATATCGATGGCAACTTTCAAATTATCCCAAATGTATTTACCAGCTCTGAAGGTATTTGAATTCATTAAAATAAAATGAGGCTTGGCTGTCTTTAAGGCTGTATTTAAATGCATAAAGAACTATTTTTACCATGTGGTGATTTTTTCCCCTTTACAGAAATAATAACTCTCCCACTTGCTAATTGACATGATAAACAAAGATATTGTTCCCCCTCTTCCATCACTACCTCCAAAATTAAATTTAACAGCAATGCTTTCCTTAGGCAGAGAGAACAAATGGGCTAGTTACTCATTCATGGAAAACAAGTTCCACTGACTGTTTCTTTGAGGTTTCTATTTTAAGAGGTTTGATGAAGACTAAGTTACAAGGTGAATATCTACATTTTTAGACTGAAAGAGTTGAGAATTTTCAGCTGAGTAGCTGCTTATCAAGTACTATAGACAGCATACCCCAAAAAAAGTTGAGCATGTTTTCAGATTCCATGTGTATCACAAGCTCAGTCTATACCTTTAGAAAAGCAACATACTTTAGTGAAACAACAAGAAAAAAATGTAAAAGATTTTTTCCTATTCTCTAGGTAAAAGAAGACATTTATCTTAAAAAAAATCTGGCTAAGATAAAATCTAAGCAATGTTTTAGACTCTTCCAATTTCCAAAATACCACTTAAAAAATAATTACACCCACGATTTATGCACGATTCATTAGACAGCAAGATAAAATGTCCTGCTAAATTTTAATTGCATTGCAAGAATAGTCATCATGAAATATACCCCAACTTCTTGAGATTATAACCTGAAGTCTAGTACTATCTTTGTCAGGATGGAAAATTCATACTTGTGTTTTACTTTTATGCTTTCATAGCCCTCTGAAGACTATTCATAGTTAAGCAATTTGGAGCTCAAATAATCTGTTATCAATATTTATTTATGCTTTTCACTGTGAAAATTAATAGACTTGAATCACAAGATCCCTATAAAAAGTGATAGGAATGTCATTTCAGGAGGGAAAGTGTATCAATTGATCTGCAAAACAATGTTTTAAAAGCCCCCAGTCTTCCCTCATCATTTTATGATAAGAAAAAGATGCTATTCTACATTATGCCAACATTAGTAGATTAACATCCATTATAGACTGGAACATAGGCTGGATCTAACAAGAAGCAAGGCTCAATACATCACAGACAGGGCTTACATAATAGAGATGAGATACAGTAGCAGCATCTTGCAGGATGTAAACTGCTTTTCAAAAGATGAAGGCTGCTGAATGACTAATTTGAAAGAGCCAGGTTGATATAATGAGTACCTGAATTTCTACTTAATGTTGTTATGACAGCAAGGTCGGTGGGGGCTACCTAACCATCCCTTTAGGGTTTGAATGACATCTATCATTAGACTCTGATTCTGGCCAACCTGCCTCTGAATAGGAAGTGTGATTAGCGTGACAGGCACAGAGCAGGCTTTTCAGCATCTCCCCACGATTACCGTTCACACACATACCTGTGGTCTTTAATGGGGTTTTCTCTCCTAGCAACAGTTTTAACCTTTTGGCATGGATTTTGCCTTGATAATGTGAGTCAGCCACTACTGCTGAGGTAAAAGACATGTTACAGAGCGTGCAGCATTTGTTCTTATCCACCATGTCAGCGTCGCTGCCCTGTGGAGAGACAAAGGGAAAAACAACGCTTGAGAGGAAACCAAGGCTGAGGATATTTTTTTTTAACCCACATCTCATTCTTTTGTAAATAACATTTATCACAGACTCACTTACGGAAGTGTCTAGTTTCTTTTATATAATCTCGCTGCTTCTTCAAATCATCATCCTCATCGAAACTTCCTAACTTCCACACGTATTTATACATACATGTCGGGCAATGGACATATAGGCCAAATGTGTGAGAGTGGAGTTCCCCAAAGAAAAACTGGAACCACAATTAGGTGAGAAGCATTGTGTCTGGTACAGAGAGGAAAAACAGTCTCTAATTGCAACCATTATGCTTATTAAAGTAAGTATAATACCGGAGTTCAGACGGCCTGAATTATTTAGCAGAAATGATCATTTGGCATTCAGTGCTGCCTTTGACCAATTTTAGCCTCACCAGGAAACACGGTCACAATGTTCAGATTCATTTTTAAGATTTTTTAAAGTAATTGAGCATTTTCCATAATTGTGGTGTGTGATAAAGCTGGGACTATCACACTGACTGAACTTTCTGTGAGAGTTGCAGAATTTTCCTCTTTCCCCACCCCCACCCTTTTAAAAGAGTCTTTTAGAGGTGATTCTCTAAATGCTGCACAAAAATCTCTTAAATTCAACATGATTTTCATTCTTTTGTAAGACTTAATGAAAATGAGTCATGTTCTAAATAAAACAAATCCTTTGTCAGACCATGTGACCTGACTATTGTGTTTACAGGTCATCAATTACCTCTACTTATGTAAGAGGAAAATTAATCCAATGCCTTCCCTCCTGCCTAGTTAGAAATTGAGGGTAAAGGGGACACTTAGATAAGGAGTTAATCTATTCCTTAATGGAACAGCAAAAAGAAAAGCTTCTCTTTGTTAGAGAGCAGCCTCGGATGAGTACGTGGCCCTCAATAGCTAGCCCTTTTCTTATTTGCTGCAGAGCCAAAAGCAAAATGTATAATGTAATGTGATGGAGAAAGAGGTGGGGGAGACCAGAAGGAGAGAGAAATCTATATTATTCAGAATAATAATATGCCCATATTCTTGGAGAGAGGTGCCTTGAAAATTTCTAAGCAGTAAGGAAACTACCCCTGTCCTCCTCAAAGATTCTGTAATATGTCTGATAACTAGCACTTATATTTGGGGGAGGTGTGTGCATACTTCTGATCTAGAAGGTTGAATTGCCACTCAGGGATGAGGAGAGAAAGAAAACAGCAAGAGATTGGAGCTGGGAAGTCCCACCTACTATAATTTTTCCTTCCCCATCCTTCTCAGTCAGAGTTAATAGGTATAACATACTAGTAAGGTTTAAGGGGGAATCATGTAACGAAGTGGATCCTATGAGGGGGATAGAGGCTCTTGCAAAAGGCTTCCTTGTGGGGAAGAACAAATCTGAAGACAAGGAACCATATTATATCCTTTATTATTATTATTATTAATTTTAATAGACATTTACAGAGGTTTTGGATTTCCATTCATTCATTGCTGCACTTTTCTCCCTGCCCACTCCTCCCCATCAGCTCGCTTCCTCCTCCAAGAGAAAAAGAAAAAAAAATTCCTTCATTAGTATACAATTCCCACGTCCCTTCCCCCTCACCCCCAACCCTGAGTACACTTCTCTATGCAACCTTAATTCTGGATTCCTGTGCTAACCATAATACTCAGTCTTAAGAGTTTAAAGCACTTATTTTTCCTTTTAGTTAAAAAAAACCCGCTATTGATATCTTTAATGTCTGTGTTTCACTGACTATGCAAAGGCATTTGACTGTGTGAATCACAACAAACTGTGGCTAACCTTGAGAAGAATGGACACCTGATTGTGCTCATATGAAATCTATACTTGGATCAGAAGGCAGTCTTCAGAACAGAGCAGGGAAACACTGCATGGTTCAAAATTAGAAAAAAAGAGTATGCCAGGGATGTATCCTATCTCCATAACTTTTCAGTGTGAATGCAGAACAGATCATTTGAGAGGATGGACTTTATAAAGAGGAATGTGACATCAGAATTGGAGGAAGACTCATCAACAACCTGCTTTATGCATATGAAACAACTTTAACTGCTGAAACTGAGGCGGGCCTAAAGCATTTGCAGAAGAGGCTCAAGGACTCTAGTTTGCAATATGGATTGTAGCTCAATGTTATGAAACAAAGATTCTCACCATTGGGCTCACTGGCAGCACCTTGATAGATGGAGAAGAGATTGAGATTGTTAACAGTTTCATCTTGCTCAGTTTCACAACCAATACTCTTGGCACCAGCAGTCAGGAAATCAAAAGCCAAATTGCATTAGGGAAAGCTCCTGTAATAGGACTCTCCAGGGTGCTGAAGAGCAAGGATGTCAGTCTAGAGACTAGAGTGGACCTGTGTAAGCCAGGGTCTTCACAATTACTTGCTATGCATCAGAGAGCTAGACAATGACCAAGGATGACAGAAGAAAAATTGATGCCTTTGAGGTGGTGCTAGAAAAGAGTATTTAACATACCATGGAATACCAAGAGACCTAACAGATCTGTCTTAGAGAGGGTGAAACCAAGCTGCTCCGTGGAGCCTAAGATTATGACACTCCATCTCACATTACTTTGGGCTTCTTGTCAGTAGGCACTAGTCTTTGGAGAAGGATATCAAGCTTGTAAAGGTTGAGGGACAGAGCAGGAGAGGAAGACCCTGGATGAGATGGATTGATGCAATAACTTGGGTAATGAAGGCAAATGTATCAAAGACAGTGCGATTTAGCTCAGGAGAGAGTAGGATTCAAAGCTATTGTGCACAGTGTTGTTACGAGTCGTAGGTGACTCGATGGTACATAACAACAATAACAGCAGCTTTGGAGAAATGAAATAGACTTAATAATAATGGAAGAGGTTGTATTCCCACACAAATTTGGGATATGGCACAATATCACATGGAAGAATTTAGCCCAGGGATTTAAGCAATCAAAAATTTTTTTAAAATCCACAAAATACTACTATTGAGAAAAGATGGAATAGAACTGTCCCCATGGGGTATTAAAGGCTGTAAATATTTCTGTAAATAGATTACCTCATTCTTTCCCCATGGATCTACTGATGGGTTCAAACTGTCAACATCTGGTCATGCAGCTGACTGCTTTGACCACTAGAGTTCCTCCCTTCCTCCCTCAATGCCATCAAATTAGTTCTCCCTCTGTGACTAGAGAAAACTGAAGATATTTCTCATAGGGTGTCATAAAATTTCTGAAACTGTAAATGGTCATCTTTCCCTCATGGAGTGTCTGGTGGATTTGAAATGTCAGAGGCTCATGGCTGGCTTTCAGACTAACTGCATAACTCTCTATAGACAGCAGCAGAGCAACTACCAAGTGAAGCATAATCGAAGAGTGACAGGAAAGTTCAAAGTCATGAAATGAGGAGTGAACAGCTCATAGATAGCTCAAGGAGAATGAAAGAACACAACACTACATTACCAAAGTAGAATTTTAAAAAAAAAAAGAGTACTGTCTTCTTTAAAAAAGAAAATTAAAAAAAATCAATCAGGAAAAGAGGGTTAATATGGAAGTTAGTGCTTGACCGATCTTGTTCCTGACAAACAGCCTGTTCCTATTTTCTAAAAAAAACAGCCACTGAAAAATGCGGAAGATAGTTCTACTCTGACACACATGGGGTCACAGTGAGTCAGATTGGACTTGAACACAACCTTTGTTATTCATAACATGGCTCAATTATGTAAATGTTTTAAAAATCAGGCTTGAGGCCATAACTCAGAGCTCTCAACTCACTACTTACACTTACTTAAAATGTATGTATCCCTTCTGGAGAAAGTCCTGGGTGCCTGCAAACCTCTCTCCTAAGAGTGCTGCATGCGGTGGTTGTTTTTAGGTGCTGAGCAGTTGGCACTAACTCATATCTCTACATGCAGCCTGGAAAGAAAGGCTGGCAGCTGAGGCACAGGGGTAGCATCATTAGGTGAAGTGTGCTCAGAACTAGTTTCCAGGGCAAAGAATTGCCCTCAAACTGAATAATGACCAGTGGGTTTAAATGTTCATTCAATCAACACATTTTATAAACATATTTATTGTGTTAAACACTATAATAGATAAATTTCTCCTTTTCAAGGAAGTCAACACCAGAGAAGAGGAGACAGGAGGTAGAAAATTAAGGGGTGTTATAAGCAAGTAAATAAAGCCTCTTGTTGAACTTCTGAGGGAGCTCTGGTGGCTTAGTGATAAAAGAGTTGCACTGCCAATACCAAGGCCTGTGGTTTGAATCCATCAGCTGCTATGCGGGAGAGAGAAGGGCAATATTCTTCCATACAAGAGCAAGTATACCTGCTGCTTCTGAAAACCAGCCGGAGGGTGAGCTATGAGTTGGTTTTGACTCAGGAGTACACCACAACAACGACAACAAATTGAAGTCCTTAGAATCCCTGGGTAGAATACATTGTAAATTCACTCAGCTGATATACAAAAATTATTCAAGTTAAGCCAAAGACACTTTGGAAGAAAAACCTGGAGATATATTTCTAAAAATGAGCCTTTGAAAAAACCCTATAAAGCATGATCCCATACCAAAACATATGGGGTCTCCATGAGTGAAGGGAAACTGGTTGGTGGTAGTAATATTTGACTCACTCTACCATCTGCAAGCTAAAAAGCAATTAACATAAAGCAAACTTCATGGGTAGATTTTCATCTTCAACGCTTTCACCTGCTAAGTATACCCTTCCTCATCACAGCAAATATTGCCAGATTCTGTCTTCACGTCCCAGCCTAATCATCACTGTCTAGAGAGGAAGCTTGTTCTCACTCCCTCAACTGCACTGCAGAGATAAGCCTTTGCCTTTGGGACCTGTACGTGTCCTGCACATATTTCTTGTAGATCAGAGCACCACATCATTACTTTGTTCCTGTATCTATTCTTCACATAAGACTGAACAACTCCTTAAAAAACAGGAAAACTGTCCCCCTGATAGTGAAGCTTTGGCACAGGCCTTG